TGTGTTCCTTCAGGATACTGGAGCCCATGTGCACCATTGATTTGGTTTGGGATCCGGTTAAAGCGCCGAACATTCGCTTTTCGTCCTCCCATTTTCGTAGACAACACCCCAGCCACGAGAAGGCAATGAGTAGGACTTCCTTGGCAGAAGCTATATACGCGTGGCCATGTGAGAGCATTTCGAGAGGGAGAGCGAACTATTCCTACTCTCGGTCGTACCAGGGCATTTGGGGGCTTCAACTTATTATTATGTCTTCATTCAACCAAATAATCGAGAAACGCTACTTTGTAAATGTATTCAGGGAATCAACACATTCTGAGAGATACTTAGGTTATGGTTCGGCTCATGCGTTTCGTATGAAAGTCACAGTTATAAAAAACTTAATTAACAGAAGTACTAATCTCGTTACAGATAAGGAAGATCAACATATGTACACAGGTATTTTTTTATAATTTAGCCTCTATATTGGGATTGTTTTGTTCACGGTTATCGTATACCTGTGTCGTAACCACAAATGCTGTAACGTTTAATTTTCATTTGTAATGGAAGTCTTTCACTGACCTGTTATTTACTAGTGTCAGATAAGTAAATTGATATTCATCAGTATCATGCAGGATTATTTCACTAGTTGTGAGTTTTATTCGCAAAGGGTAGATTTTTAAACCATTTTATTATTATGTCTTATTATTATGTCTTCATTCAACCAAATAATCGAGAAACGCTACTTTGTAAATGTATTCAGGGAATCAACACATTCTGAGAGATACTTAGGTTATGGTTCGGCTCATGCGTTTCGTATGAAAGTCACAGTTATAAAAAACTTAATTAACAGAAGTACTAATCTCGTTACAGATAAGGAAGATCAACATATGTACACAGGTATTTTTTTATAATTTAGCCTCTATATTGGGATTGTTTTGTTCACGGTTATCGTATACCTGTGTCGTAACCACAAATGCTGTAACGTTTAATTTTCATTTGTAATGGAAGTCTTTCACTGACCTGTTATTTACTAGTGTCAGATAAGTAAATTGATATTCATCAGTATCATGCAGGATTATTTCACTAGTTGTGAGTTTTATTCGCAAAGGGTAGATTTTTAAACCATTTTCTGTTTTATGCTATGTGATTAGTTGACACCATAATCTATACAAATGATATAACGAGACTTATGTGATCTGTTGGTCGGTAAATCATTAGCAGTGGAATACCTAGGCCCAGGTACCTCGAGAAGTATCTTTCTACAGTTTTGGGACCGGATAGCGATTGCCATCCACACACATCTAACAACACTCTGGGCTACTTTATGCACTATCAAATTCCTTCACTAATTCATACTTCGTTCCCTACCATCGACCCCTCTTCTATAGCTTACTCTTTTTTTTCACTATCCGACTAATGCTAACGACCGAGTTCACAAAGTGCTATTCTTAATCTCCTGAAATCTCATGTTTGCTGTCTACGAAAGTCCTCTTATGTGTGGCGATTGAAGTTGAAGTAAACTTCTTGTTGTTATATGTTTCACATTAGCTAATTACGCTACGGGCATTGTACGTTTGCGTACATTTTTTCAGTGTTTTTAACAAAAAAACTTTCGTACAATTTTAAATAAATAGTTTCACAATAAATTGGGCACCGAGTATATGAAATACATCAAAAGTGAAATCTTACTGAGATCACGAGCCGATCTAAGTTAACCATCGAAAATCTAGAAACACTGGACATATGTTTCGTCTCAATGTTGGGCTCCTCGTCAGTGTACATCCATGACCTCACCACCGGAGATCGAGGCCAGGATTTTCAGCCTCGCTCTCGAACGCTTAATCTCTAGATCATTGAGTTGGGATTCAGTGGTAGAAAACTAAATAATCAAAGATAATAGAAAGTCGTCGCGCGTTACTACTGATTGATTGAATTTAGACTTGTACACCATTGGATCGTGGCCCAGAGTGACCTAGAGGTTAAGTGTTCTCACGAGGCCAAAGGTCCTAGGTTCGGCCTTCTTTGGCCATGGTGTAAACGCACACTACTGAGAAATCCCATTCTAAGATTAACAGACTGTCCAGTGTTTCCAGGTTTTCACTAGTTGTTTAACTTAGATCGTTTTGTGATCATAATAAAACTCAACAATCTGAACAGTCATCATGCTGATTGATAAAGAAATTATATTTGTAAAAATCTATGGCCTCAAAATTAAATAACCTAGCAATTTGGTCCAACTTTCATGACGGAAGTTATCGAAGAGAAATGAGGTCGAAAATAATTATTCTAATTGTTCGTCCAATCATCTCCAAATATTGACTTTGTGTATGATGTGAGAATGTGATTCATTTTATTGTGACATCTATTTAATATGTGCCGTGTGATGGTATGCGTATTATGTGTGAAGATTTGTTTTGTTAAATTTAAGCGGATAAATAACGATTCTGGATACAACCAAGGTCAAATTAAAGCTATAAGTACATTTTAATCATTCAATTTGATACTCCAAGATATTTCACAACTATAATTTCCCACTTAATACGTTTTTCGATATTTATGCAGAGATGGATGCTGGTCAGCCGTGCAATCCTGAACGTGCGTTTTTTTCCTATTTGGAACTTGTCAGATGGATGTACCCACATCCCACAGTTCACTCCGGGACTCGATCCAAACAATCAATACATATGAATTAAAATTTACCCCATTGCACAAGCCACTGGCTAGCTGGATCCAGTAACTAAGTGAATGAAGTAATGACCTTTCAAGTGAACGGTACTAGATATGGAGTCCGGTAGTGTACATCAACTTTGGGATGCAGGCGTATTCAGCTGACGGGTTCCATATGGGACGAAACGCACGTCCTAGATTCCAGTGCTAGCCACCACCATTTATCTCTGCTTATAATGCTTGTGATCTGAGGATATATCGAGACAATGCTCTCAGGATGCCCATATGCCAGAAGAGACTGGTCAATTACATTCCTAAACATGAATGAAAAGTTCCAAATTACTAATGTGTATGTTTTTTCAATATGTTTAAAGAACTAAAAAAACACCACATTTAGTGATATGTGGATGATGCAATCATCCCTTACCAAAGCGATACATACTGATCAATTAGGGACTTTTAGGCAATTCAGTGTCTACTCAACTCTTAAGTTCATATGCGAGTAAGAAACTGAAGGTAGAATGCATTTTGTAAATTTTCTATTGATGAAGAGAATAGATAAATTGCCAAGAAAAATAAGATAATACACAAATCGTTTTTAGTTTCGTGTACTCCTCTAGTAAGTTCAAATAGTAAATAAGGAAATCACTGGGGTGACGTACTCTGTAAAATATCAATACGTAGGTTGCTCAGAACAATTCGAAGAACAGTTAACTGTAGGAAGACATTGATTTAGAATCATAACTGTAGAACCTGATGAGAATTTATTGTGAAAAGAATATTCATTGTTCATATATAAGCCTTTGTTTTGATCCATCTATATTCAAGGATACTGATAAAAAAGAAAAACTAAATGAATGGTTTAATGCGTATTATACCAACTATCCTACAACCAATTTCAGTTATGGTTAAGTTTGGTTAGACTCTTTTATTAACTTACTTGACAGACAATATTATTAGAACAGTAACAATTTGTCTATTTATTTGCAATGTTACGATCACTAGATCACATGACAGACTCTAACTAAAATGTTGATCGCTTAAATATCACTCGATGATTCATCCTTCTCCCCATGTATATATGTACTCAAATCTTATCCTTTGCTTTGCCTTCCTGTGCCCTTATACTATTTGACTACAAATTTATCTATCTATTTACTCACACTCACAGATTCGCCTCTGCGCTTCAAATTCTCTTGATGTGATTATAGCTTTGTGATCTGTGGTATCCGCTAGGAAACTGTAGTTGCTGCTTCAGTTTGCCTTCTGATTTCAAACACCCTTGAGATTTATGTTATAACGGTTATCGAGGTGATTGATTTTAGAATGTTTCGCTAACAGTCGGTTTCCTTAACAAGTCTGAATAATTGTCTGCTGCCCCTGCCTTTTCCATCTCTCTTGCTTTCGCTACCCACTACTGTTCACGATCGTTGCGTAGACTTCTTGTCAGCTTGCGCTTAAGCTGACTCCGCTCTTCATTATGTTCAGAGCCAGGTGGAATGAGTTTCCGAGCATCTATCAGTGCGATAGACGCTGCTGAGATCCAGTGTTTCTCCCTAACCTTGTGGTTTACCTTACTAGCAACCGATGGTTAGAGACCCTGAATGACATGGCTCGAAATCGTTTGCAATGGCGCAGGTGCATCCAGTCTTTGTGTTCTTCCAAATTTTGATCTTTTTCCTCCTTGTCTCTTTTCTTTTTCTCTTCCCAAATTTGTTTCACGGTATTATACTCTTTAAATAACATCTCCAAACACTAATCTTCCCGATTACTGCTTATACTCTTATTACCTCTACCACTACGGGATTTGAATTGACCACTGCATCTCTGTGCTAATGTGGTGTGGCAACTCGAACTGATGTACGTACGTACGAAGTTCTACGTTGATACTGACTGGTGATTGATTAACGAAGCAAAGCCACTATAGTATCATGTATTCAATCTCAAGTCAATCGAGAGAATCTAGTCGATAATTTAGTGTCATGTGTAGCCATCAACTCGGTCATATTGTGTCATTACATATCATCTATCAATCGGTATCGGGTTTATTCATTTGAATAACAAACCTCGTTCACCTATGAACTACCCCCTCTGTCATATTATATTGAAAGTGTAGTAGTTGTATGTTTACCATGCTAAAGCTTGTGAATTAATTTAATCACTGTAAAAAATTGACGTTTTCAAGCGTTTAGCTTGTTATTGCTGTGTTCCCGTCATGATCCTGGCCATTTCTTTATTTTCAATGGACAGTTTGATCGTGTCCCGTTCAGAGGTTATATTTTCTTTTAGTATCTATCTGCAGTAATATGATAATTTAATGTTATTATCTTTATTTTTAAATATATAACTAGGTGTATCTGTTCAATCAGAAGATAATAACAATGTGACCAAAGATAATTTGCATGATTTAGAAATAGAACGGCGTATTCCTACTCGTGTACTATCCCTTGTATCAGACCCTATTCCTACAAACATGATGACGATGAACAATTTAAAACACAATCGAAAACGTTGTAAACGTCCACTTACTCCGACTGATATTTGTTTAATGCAACGAGTTGAAGTTGAGTTGAGACAGCATTTTTTCTCTCAAATAAATTCAAATGGTATTGTTGGTCGTTGGACACCATCATTATCATTGTTGTCACAATCAATGTCACCTTCAATGACTAACGACTGTACGAATAAAAATAAGAATTATTATTCACATCCAGATCTATTGTGCTTGGATCCATTCCAAAGATTATTGGTTCATTCAGTCGCCAGCTATTTAGGGTTGAATTCATATAGTAAGTGTTGTCTTTTAACATTAACAAGTGGTAATTTAAAAAGGGTTTTGAATCATTTCTCTTACTTATTTTCTTCCTTCTGGTTATTGTTTCAGCTATTCGATCGGTCATAATCAGTGTACATAGGAGCTGAGACAAAGAGATGTGTGTTCTGGTTCAAGTTGCCACACAGACAGATCAAATGAACGAGGGGAATAGTCTAAATGATTTAAAATCTTAGTAGTATCAATGATGGTAAACATAGAGAATATGTTACTTACGGTTTGTACTTCCCAACTGAGGATTACAACTGACCAATCTCTGTTAGTATGTACATTCTGAGTGAATTGTCTTAATATTTCCATTGAGTCATTTGCTTTAGACGCATGGCTGTTTAAAACGAAGGCTTCTATTTTTGAGTTTGACACTGGATATCAACACTGTGATGTTTTTTTTCCTACGTCCAGCTAGCAAGTTCCGAGTAGGACAAAATGCCGTCATCAAAATTTAATAAAGAATTTAATTCGGAAAGTAAGTTTAGGTTCATTGGGTGACGGTTAGCACTTGGTAATTTACATCATCTATCAATACGGCTCAAACCATTGGTCAATGATGTCTATTATGTTTAATACTATCCTTTAATAACCAGTCTAACATTATTGCTTCGTGATACTACAGATACAGTTTACAAGTCTTTTTCTCATGGTTGTCAACTTTATTAAAATGTAATAATTAATACCACCTGTTAATTTGCTATTTGAAATTAGTTGGTAGGAAGTCCTAGTCAATTTGTAGCGACAAGTCAGTGAGCAAGGGGTTCGACTACCAACCAATAAATTCTGGGTTTGAACCTTATTCTACCAACTTCGTTCTGGGCAACTGATAGTATTACTAGTCCTCAAACTTATATTATGTTTCATAACCAATTACATTTATTTTTACCTAGGTAATTATCTCAAGTTTCGAGCCCATTGTTGACATTCATTATAAAGGTATATCTGCAATCTTGAAGGTAGTGTTGTTCCCACTGGTATTTTTCGAACCAACTTGCATAGAATCGGAGGCTGGAATTAGTTGTCTACAGATTACCTCCAACCACAATGTCCAATCACTTGGTCATATGATCTTGTTTCAACTTGGGCTGTATCGTAAAATCAACACTAAGAACTAGTCTAGACAGACATATTGGTTATAAATCAATAATCAATAAATGTAATATTAGTTTGTTGCTAATCCTAGATCTTTCAACCATACACTGAAAAATAATGATTTATGTACTGCATAACTATTTAAACCTCAGTAAGCGTAACGAGATTGAAATGCTTGACCAACTGACGACTATCTTTATCATTAAACCTTAGCTTTAATAGGCAAATGATAAATTTGTTTAACTCTTTGTGTATTCTTTGATTAGTTGTGTAACGGTATTATTTTTTGTTACATTTATGTATACAAAATACCTTTATGTGTTATACTATATTGTTTAAGGTACATGGTCTAATTCACTGGGTGAACGTCAATTATGGGTGGAGCAAATTTTAGGTAAATATAGTCAGCCACCAAAGCAACACTTTGTGACGTTAATTGAACAAAAAATCAAACAATCATCAAAACCATTGTCATTGAGTACATGATAGTGATCACTGGTGTGTGTAAAAGATAGTTTACTCCCTTACCATTTTTAATTGTTGCGCTGTTTTCCCCTTTTCATCTAACTATTCCGTTATCGATCACGTTTATAATAATAATAATAATAATAATAATAATAATAATAATAATAATAATAATAATAAATAATAGTAATAATAAATATGGCTGTATTTGTTTGGCTTTTCAAGAAAAAAAAGTAGTGTTCTAATCAGTCATGTTCTTTCTTACTCGAATAAAAGAGCGCACGCCCAATGTTGGAGCTTGTATATGTGAAATTTATATAATTATAATAAAGTGCCGAAACTAGAGATTTTTTATTAAACTTTTGACTTTTCAGAAATCCTATGAATTCTAACAAGAAGGGTAATTAACTTACTATTTTTTTCACTAACCCTTAAGTCATTCTTTAATATATATCGTATTTGTCTGAGTCTAATGTACAGCAAGTTTATTTATGCATTTGAAGAATCATGGAGCCTAAAATAAGTAACTAGAATTTACAAAACCAATTCAACTCTTTTTTTTGAGAACTTTTAACGTGATATTATTATGGGAACCTGACAAGTTTTGAACTTTGAATATTGATGCGAATAATGATCTTCAAACATTTCTTGAACAAATACTTTGGTTAGTAGAAAGTGTAAACTTTAGATTGATTCATGAATATTCCATTTTCATCAGCTGACAGTACACAGACTGGATAAAATCATACTCATCGATATACTTTGAATTGTATTATCTGAAAATCAATTTTGTTTATTTATGCTGACTACTACTTATTATGTGAATAATCGACATCTTGACTTTAATCAGGACGTAGAAAGTTCTGTATATAGCGGGTTGGTGAAAGCAGTTCTGCTCTCTTAGTGAAAGTTGACTTGAGAGTTGAAGATATTCGCTGACTCCGAGCTCGATCATGGTTATCTTAGACCTGTTGCTTATATTCAGTGATAAGAATGTGTAAGTAACGGTTTGGTTCGGCAAGGATAGTCATGATAATTCAATTGATGTTACAACCTCAATACACAAACCTAGCTTGAACATGTTTCAGAAATGTCATCCCGGCGGTTTCCACACTTTATTGTTTACTAAGTAACTGGATGAAAAACTGAAAATGGTTAATCAGTTATGAAGTGGTTCTACTGAACGAACGACAGTTTTGTGTAACTAGCATTTTTTTAGTCCATTATGACTACGTGGTTAGTGTTCTTGAGACTATACAACTTAATAGTTGACTTGCCAAACATAACATTCTTCGTCTAAGTAAGGTAAATCGTTTTCAGCAAAAAATACTATCGCGATTGTACCCTTTAATTAGAATGTCTCTTATTAAATAATATTTTTGATTATTTAATGATCATATGACCTTACCATTCACTCACCACTTTTTTCGCAATATCTTCGTTCCATTTTGTATAGCGCATTCTTTAGTACCGAAATTTAATGGATTATAAATGAAGCAAAGATAATCAAAATGCTATCCAGGTTAATGAATTAATTATGTTAAAAGTTGATAACGTAATATAGTGAATTAAATTTTAAAAAACTAAATAATACCATTAAGATAGATGATATTTAGAGGTGGGACCTAGGGCGCGCCTTTCGTCTTATTTGGGACTGGATGCACATACACGGATAAATGACTGATCAGTTTTAGTCCTAAACATCAAATGGAACATCCAAATAACAATTGAATTAAACTTCATCCCATTGCACAAACCAGTGGCTAGCTGACACAGTAACTAAAATATAGTGCGATGGTGTTTGAAGTGAACAATACTTAATTAGAGTTCTGTAGTGAACATCAACTTTGGGGTGCAGGTGGATTCAGTTGTCGGGTCCCAAATAAGACGAAACATGCGTCTTGGATTCTACAACTAGCCACTACCATCCGTCTCTGTTTATGATGCCTATGATTTACTGGGGATATCGAGACAGTCCTCATATATGCCAATAAGAGATTGATCAATTGTTGTCCTTAATATCAATTGGAAGATTCGAATAATCAATACAGATGAGTTATCATTGAAAGCATGGAAATCTAAAAAAGAGTCGGTTTGATGTAAAATAAATTAAAAAACATGAAGATCTATACAACTGACTATTATAACCTCATATGATAGAGATATGTTCAGTGAATATTTATTCATATGCATAATTTAAGTATCCGTTAACATAATGGCAAAGATTTCAGGAGTATTGGAAAAACGGAAAGAACGTCACAGCCTCATCATTGTAACACCTGTTTGAGTTCATTCCACATTTGGGACAGACACTAATCACTTCGACCAGATGCGATCATTGGATTGTTTTTTCACCCTCCTTATAACGTCATTTTTTTCATCGAAAATTGTAATCATTAGTACATATATCTCATATTCGTATCCTTGTGATTTTACACGTATTATGTGTATTTTATATGTTCTTTACTTGTTATCTTATTCAATGCCTATCTCTTTGTCGCATTATGCGTTATCTATTTTGATTTATGTTAATACGTGTAATAAGTAGTATTTTGAGTAGGCCTGTTTACCTACATCGATTCTCATCTCTGGTCTATGCAATAATGGATTTCATTAAATATATATTTCTGAAGTACTCTCGTATTTAACTTATTTTATTCCATTATTCACTAACGTTAATAAGTCGATAAATGTATGCGAAATTAAATAAGGAACTATATTTCACCATGCCTCATCGACAATATCAACCGGTATCAAATAGAATCCACTAAAAGCAGTATGATTGCTAGTGTTCTTTCTTGTTTTTGAATAATTTTCGCAATGTTAGTATAATGAACAAACAAGAATTCGAAATACGTTACTCCTGTAAAATTCTGTGCTTATAATTCACCAGATTACAAGAAAATGAACCTAAAATTAATCTCATAAGTTATGGTTATGTAAAGACGCCCATAGCTGACAATATTTGCACTGGTTAATCATTAAGTAGTGGCCAATTTAATGTTTGTCTACTCCTTGGCGCTGACTAATTTTTGTTGACCATCGTGCTATGTGATCACCACTTGAAATGTCTCAACATTGGTTACAGTATGCTTTAGTATCAGGTGGTTTGCCAGAAAACTTCAGACCTAGGTTCCGTGCTGGCTGACACTTGTCAGAAAAGTGTACTTATAATTTTGAGGGGAACAATTCTCTTTGTGGAATGTCAACTTACATTACTTAGTTCCATAGTTTGGACTGTAATCACTGAGCTAATTTAGCCGCTATCTCACTCTCTCACAAAGTCAGTCTCCTCCAACAAATTAACAGCGTTTGAACAGAGTTGCGTACATTCTTTGTTTGTACAGGTTATTCAGAAGTAGTCTGGTGAAGTGACGCATTATTCTGGTATAGATTACGTTGAATCAGATTAATGAAAACTATTGGCTTCTGCTTCAAATGTCGTTAACTTATGTCTCACCTAGTCACACTACTGCAAAGAAGACAACTCATGATCTGTCTATTCGACCAAGTGTTCAACTGACAACTACACATAAGAAATATATTAGTATGCATTGAAAAACGAATTAACTGCTTATCGTTTATTGGTTTGCTACAACATGGGCCGTGGCTTGAAAAAGAAAGAAATTATACTTTACTAGTTAAAATATTGGTCTACATTGTAGTCACATCATATCTATTGATGTACTAGTTTATCAGTGATAATCAAAATGAGGTCAACAGGCGAGTGAACGGAAAAACAAGAAAAGATCGTGTTTGTACACAACAACCAGTGAACTGTATTTGATTGATCAATTTCACAAGTTGATTATTCATTACACTGTTAAAAATAGTAATTTTTTACTCAAGGTGAGTTGTTCGTAGCTAGACAGGCACTTAATTAATCAAATGAATGATTATATATACCCTTAGTAGAAGTAACAGTTATACACAAGCTTAGAGGTACAAATCACCTTCCATTTTGCCATATATTATCTAACATTATTATTATGGATGACAGTTATGCACTGGAATTCGACCATTATTTGTAAGCGAACAGAACATTTCAATCATATGATAATCATAGTAGTAGTGAAAACGGTGTGTAGATTTTCCTTGGTATTTCGTTAAATGTATTCAACAGCATTGCAACAGCTGTTTAGTTTTGCGTTAGTTAATGTAGATTAAAGTAAAAAGAAGATGGAAATGTCATTCTTTTATATAAGAAGTAATAAGTCAGAGACAAATAAATAATTCTATCCAGTCTGTTAAATATAAAACTAAGAAAATATGCATTGAATGGCGTGAGTTCTATGATGTGATACATTTAATTTCGTATTACATTTGTCTTTCTTAACAAGATCCGGCGAGACTATAATTTATGGATGAACTAATCAGGTATAAGATAACAAGTCTCAGATATTGGCGCGAAATTCACTCATCCATCTGACCAAATAGCGTCTCGGAACTATAGATTGTGTCAGTTCGTGATGAAAACTCTAAATCTAATTCTTAACCCTAATCATCAACTGTGAATCATAGTCCTTATTCTTTAAATTGTTTTTTAGCCTCCAAGGTCGTCCATAACTTGTAGTTTCATCCAAGACTCTCTTGTGTTGAATTAAAATCTGGTTAATTATCAGATTGCATATCAATCCATAGATTTATCTTCAATGTACAGTTAAGGAGGGTAATTGGAAACTACAAATTGTTTTAACTCATTAAACTAGTGAGTCTGTGAATTTATTGCTCATTTCAATGGACAACCTTGATAACTGACTTCATTAGTTCAACTAATGAATCACAACTCTGAAAACTAGCGAAAACTGAATAGATACTTTATTCTAGTTTCAAACTGTTCAACAATGTAAACTCTACGATTCTACACCAAATGGAATCCAGACAAGTCGTGATAGATAAATAACCTTCACTACAATTCTATGTGACTAAATGTATCAATGATCGGAGTTTTAGAAGTTTATTAAAAGTAGTCTCAATTGACGTGATAGTATAATATAAATGCGAATAGTGTATTTAACTAGTCACTAAGTTACCGTTTAAAATACATGATGTAAATCGTCATATAGTTTTGAGAAAATAATTATTCACCATATGTATGTAATCTCTCATGGCATTCTCATTCGACGTTAACAATGAATTCTAAGTGGAATTTCTTTCGAAAAATTCCATACTGGTGAACA